GGCCAGCTGTCCATCAGGCATTAGCCATCATGATGGGTTACCGTTAGTCTGGTAGTGGAGAAGTCGGTGCGGCCAGACCTGTAGGGCTCCATTAGTGCAAAGCTAATGAGACAGAACCTCAGCGGGCGGGGGTACACTCATTACGGCAGGATCAGGCCTGTGCGGGTAGGGAACTGGTGTGTGTGAGTGTGTGACTTATGACTAAGAGGTGTGATGGAATTTGTTGAAAGTTAAAGCTTCAGGGCTCCATTTCCATTAGAAAGAAACCAAGTATAGATTGAATGTTCAATACATTTCTTAAACATCTGTAGACAGTGTTGCCCAAAGCAGTCAAATTTACATTGAATGCACGAAAACAATGGAAAGGCACATAGTCTTGAAGCACAGTGTAAACTAGATGTTTACATGTTCTGAAAAAAAAAAATGCAAGTAGGGCTTGCACCTCTAAAACTGCATGATGTAAGCGGTTCTATGTGGTTGCTAGGGTGTTGCTGCCAGATTTGGCTAAAATCCAGAAATAAAGAATTTTATTGTCCAATTAATTAATTAAAGTTACAATATGAATGTTTTCTTCAAATGTCTTGGAGACATTGCCACAGTTCTTCAGGATTTAGTCGTCTCAGTTTTTTGTTGTTGTTGTTGCTGTGTGGGAGCATTCTGGCTGTTTTCAGACATACAAAAATCTCACTGGATTATTAAATTAATGGCAAAAGGAATGTTTGGAAATGTAAACTGATCCTGCTGACACACCACATCAAAAGATGTAGGCTAATTAAACTGGCTTTCGCACTACACTGTAGGCTATATGTTTAGCTTTATTTTATTACAATGGGGTAAACTATAATATATACAAATAGAAAGAAATATCTAACTTTATTTATGTGTATTACAATTGTGTATATAGCAGTTTTTAATAATAGGGAAATTATCCCATATTGTTGTGAGCATGATGACATTGATATCTATTTATTATAAAAAAATACTTATGCAATTAATATGAAATTCATTCTTCATAATTGATTAAGCTGAGGTTTGAGTATACTGTGCGTGCTACTGACCTTACAAACTAAAAGGACTTCAATGAGTGACATGATTAATATAGCCGGTCACTTGCATGAACTAAGTTTGACCTAACCCAGATTTCTTTCTCTCCAAGATCCACAAGAGCACAGCTAGCCATAACACAGCCTGAAAGGCTGATCAACGAAATGGACACCAGCTGCTTAAATACAGGGGGAGCAAGATGCCAAAGCACTATAGTCCCTTCTTTCCATGGCTGAATGCAGGAAGGTGTCTAACTTGTCAAAGCTACATGGTGCCTTGACCTGTACTTAAACAGGGTGATGTCAGCACTGGCACAGCCCCTGTGATGCAACACAGCGGACTAACAATCACAGCGAACAGAAAAGACAGAGATGCTCTGGCTGTAAGGGACTGCGACAGACTGTGCTTTGGCCTGGCTCTTGCTTTGGATGCCAAACTGAAAAGCCATTACCAAAGGAGCCATTTAACAACATCAATTAATCAATCAGAACAGGCAGGAAAGTAATTTGGCGAGGTCCTCATCAAGGAGTCAAATTTTTTATACAGAATGTCTTATTTCACAATGGTGGTAGGGTAAAGATTAAAAAAAAAAAAAAAAAAAAAAAAAAACACAGGAGAGGAAAAAGGTCTCATTTGGATGGTGTCCCAGCTTCCAAAAATCTCATTTAATTAGCAAAAGTGGTAGAGAAAATGGCGAGGACTTTAAGATAACTTTGAAACAGAAGCAGCAACAACAGCAGCATACGAAATGACACAAGCAGCTGTTCTCTTCAAGATGTGTTGATTAGTGTATTTATATATTTCTAGACAAATCTTGGATGAGAGATTGCCAGGTCAATGTGGGACTGATTGTGTGCATGCAGATTACCACAGCTGATTAGTAGCGGGGCCTTATGTTGGTTTAAGACGACAAGAGGCAAATACTGATGTCAGGAAGTGCCTGTCAATAACTAGACACTGCGTCTCAGGTTCAGTTTCACTCCATCTGTCTCAAACCAGCTTTCGGTTTAACTTGTTTCCCCCTCATTTACCGCATTACCACCTCCCATGTATCCTCAGGTGGTCCATCTGTGCGGAGCGGCAGTCTTCAGCATTTTAAGCAAGGCCCTGATCAATCGGATCAATGGAGGTGATCAGCGTTATGAGCTCTGATCAGCCTGGATGGGGAACAGGCTAATCCAGTTAAGCCATTAGCAAGCCGGGACAGAAGAGCCTGTTGGGCATTGAGCCCATCTATGAGGTTTGCTTATTAGCATGCTGCCGTATGGAGAAAATAGAACCCCATCATGAATGTCGGGCCAAATGATTTTGTGACGCAAAACACACAGAAGGAATCAAATAATCTAGTAATAAAATTGCAATGTACCAATGAGTGTCAGCAATTTTTTTTAAATTGAAAATTTCTAAAGTAGTGCTGTGCACTTAGTCAAATTGTGCATAAACAGAAACTCATAGATCTTCATGTCAACCTCGTTAAAATAAAAGGTTGCAGGGGTGTGCATTGGCACTGCCCTTACAATTCGATTACGATTCACCAGGTAATGATTCGATTCAATTCGATTCTCTGATGCATCAAAATTCTACTGCACACAACAAGACAAATTTTCATCAGCTGGGATGTGTCGACTTTTTGTGTTGTTGTTGAAGCCAACTCAGGATGCTAACGCTCAACATGGTTCGTGACGTTGCCAACATGTTTGATTTTAGTGTGGCAGGTTTTACACACCGCGTAAGTCTTATCTAGTTTCCCATGAAATGTGTCTTTCAAAGCTTTGGGTGCGTTTTTGATTACCCGTATATTATATCTTTATTTTTGTTGTTTTGCTCCCGAAAGTAATTGAAACTTCAAAACTTTATTGTCCAAGGCCAGAAAATAAACAGTGACATAATCGATTATGGCACTTTGCCACATCGATGCTGAATCGTACATTTCCCGAATTGCGATGCATCAATTATTTTTGACACCGCAACAAGTTTGGTTGAGAAATTATGACAGACATATATTAATATTATACAGTAAAATGTTATTGTCAAAAGTAATAATAATACATTTATTAAATTGTTATTTTTATGCCTTAATTTGTTTACAAATTAGATTTTTTGTTAATACACTTCAATTAACTCAAGCAGACAAAAAATTCTGAAAAAGAAATTAATTATTAAATTGTTAAAGTTGTATTAATTTTTTATTGATTGTGGGTTTTTTTTATTCTAATAAATTAATTAAACCCTTGAAACAGATTCGAGAAAAATGAAAACGGAAAAAAAATTATTTGGGAAAAAATGTAGGCCAACCGATTTCACAGGAACCTATGAATGTAGGAACAAGACATGTAGAAGGTCTACACTTGTTTGCAGCTGATCCAGTGTGACAGAGGAAGAGTGTGTGAGCTAACGTGACTGCCGAGTTCTGGTTAAGATGCGAGGAGTAGGGCCGGAGGCTACAAGGAGGGAGGAGGGGTGAGACCTTGCCCTGGGTAAACACAGAGACAGCGTGGCCCCAAGCTGGAGGTCACCCTTCAGCCTGTGATTGAGCATGTGGATCAAACTACATTAAATGCACTAACAGCTTGTGTTACAGAAATCCATTTGCAGCTCCGCAATTACCAGCAAAAGCCTTCAACCTGCACTCACACTCACCGCCCATCTGGGAGGTGGTTTAAAACACAAGATCTGTCCCACGATTAGCAAGCGAGGGACCGGTGGAGAAACTTACAGGTCTGCTGGCTGAGTAAATCACATTAATCATCTGTCCTGCTTTTGTTTTTCCTGCTGCTGCATTTCATTTTTTTTCATATTTAGATGCTCCTCACAAATTAATCTCTGCTGGTGCTCACGTAGGCTCCCGATGGCAGAGAGGGCATTAAACAGCTCTGCCCGAACCTACCATAAATTACACAGCCACATTAGAAGCTACTGCAGAGAGAGAAAAAAGAGAGAGAAAGAAACTAGTGCTGGTAGGCCAAAAGAATACGCTAAACATATGACACGGCCTCCTTTAGAGAGGTGTCTTTTTCAATCACATCCTCTACTGTAAAAAAATAGATTGGCAGATGGAGACAAGAGGCATCCTCAGTGGGGTGAGAGGAGTCAGATGTATTTGAAAGAGGGCAGAAAGAGAAAGGAGGAGAGGAAAGGTGGATAAAACAAGGAGGGGTTAAAGAGAGAAATTTGGTCATCACAACACCGTTGCAACATATGAGCGGAAGGGATTTAAATGGTCTCCGCATGAATGCCGTGCCACTGCAGAGACTTCAGAGTCAAGAAGTTGCCTAAACAGAGGAAACCACCTCGAAGCAGCAAAAAATATAAATGTAGTATTTTCCATTCAGCCTGGGAGCAATCGGAGATGGAGGGAATAGTTTATGCTGCTACTGCAAGAAGACATCAAAGGGACCTGAGCTTATGCTGCTATAGCATAAAAGTATCAAAGAATCCAATGGCGCACATTTGCTATAGATTGCTGCTCTCTCCATTGTGATTACTCCCCACCACGGTAGCTCATTTTGAGTTTGTTTTACATTGAGCTTTTTTATCTTCTATTTCCAGCTGTTAAAATGACAAACCTGTTCTAGCTCCATTTCTCCATGAATGAATGTCCCGAAAGTCACAACTTGTTCTTTTCTTTGTGATGCACATATACTAGGGATGCACTGATACAAAAATTCTGGTCGATGATTATCGTCATGCTATGACCGATAATGCTAATTTGACAATCTTAAATAATGATAATAAAGTCTAAGTAAATTAATGCATTAAAACAATGTGCAGTATGAAAATGTATCTTTATTTTGAGATGTGTTAAATATTACATTTAACATTCTATTTTAAATGCATGCTGTTCATTTGAATTTATTCATGAAAAAAAAAAACTGTATCATGGTTTCCATTAATCTGATAATACACAAATAAAGCACATAGAGTCACATGGTCATAGATGTATCTACACAGCTTACCTTATTGGAGGGAGTTCATCAGCAGAGTGATCTGCAGAGAGAGAAAGAGAGAGAAGGATCATTACCAATGCAGCTCAAAGCTCCACAAATTGAGCCCCTGCTGTTCAGGTCTACATCAATGTAACCTGTCTCTTTTCCTATATTCATCAGACCAAATGAGAGGAAAAAGACACTGAATGACTTAAACACTCTGACCTTGAGCATTTCTTTTAGAAATCAGGTCTTAGTACTGCTATAACATTTAGATTAAAGGTAAAATAACCTGGTCAAAATAATCCTTTATACTGTATCAGGGCTATTCAATTGGTGGCCCGTGGGCCAAGTGCGGCCCGCCAATCATCTCCATGTGGCCCGAGAGCACTCCAACCTCCCCTTCCTATTTTCTGGTGGTGCGGCTAAATTTGGTTTGATATGCGCGTGGCCGCAGTGGCGCGTGCAGCTGGATGACTATACCCACTGTGTGTACCATGAGCGCTCCGACTGACCTGAGAGAATTGTTTTCAGTCCGAATATTTCAGCAGTTATTATGTGTGTCCCGTATTTCTGTCGACTGAACTAGCGATATTAATCATTCGTTGGTTCGATTCCTATTTCCTTTTCATGAATTGGCCAAATGCGCGTGCATAACAGTCGGAAACGATTTGGATGCGTTCGGACCGTTCTGTCACTGAATCATCTGAAGCGGTTTCTCAGTCAGTAACAACAAATAGAGAACAAAATACCGCTGGTTATTAGCTTACTTATTGTTGTTTCACTAGTTTACTTTGAACTAAGCAGCACGGTCTAGTGGATAACAAAAACGCAAGCTTAAAGGAGTTGCGTTTACTCCCGGTCCCGGACACTATTATTAAACAGCGTTGCGACATCCATTGAGGAGGAGCGTTTTAATCGGACACTCCTGTCTGTTACAAACCACAAATCACTCAATGATTTTAACTAGTTTTAAATTGGATGAAACAGCCTTAACATTCCCAACACTACTGATGAGGTAAATAGCAGAAACATTAGAATACTATAAATGCCCTAATCACCACCCTTACAAACATTTACCATGAATGTAATAACTTATCCTGGTTTGGGCAGAAATGTGGAATATTTATATTGAATACTATGTTATAGTCATTTATTTTGCATTAGATTTATTAGGGGGGTAGAGGAATATATAATTCATTGTGTGTATAATTGTTTACCTGTTTAGGCATTTTTTATACAGTGGCAGTGAGCCACAAGTCTCACTGTCAGGATATTTTAATTTAAGCCTATAATAATTATTAATAAAGTAATTCTTACCAATAGCTGATATTGAATAATCTAATATATTTGTATATATCTGTAAAAAAAGTCATACTGTTGGGTACCACATTTCCTAGTAAATGCAAAACCTTTTTTTTTGTTTACTTTAACTTGCTTATTGATACTGTTATGTGTCAATAAATAAGCTAAACCCACCGGCCCAGCTCCACTTTTCTATTTAATAATGCGGCCCTCGAATGAAGCTAATTGAATAGCCCTGCTTTATATGCTTAATTTTCATGTGATTCCCTTTATGATAACCCTTTATGAATACAAATTCTTCATCAACCTGCATTTTTCCCACGAGGAAGCAAAAGTCTTGGAAGTCTTGGTTAGCACTAACACATCTTTCTGGATCCTCATACATACAGAAAGGAGCAGCACTCTATTGTCCAAGTCTAAATTGCACGAGACGCCTAGTGGAGGGAATTCTGGGGCGAGAACCTGAGGGATCAGTGGGATGCTGGTCCTTGGCACTTAACCCCCTGAGCCCCAGTCTTTGAACCACTGCATCCCAATCATGCATGTCAAACGTCAATCCTCATGGATGAGCCGGCCAGCCGTTGGACACTGTACATAAATAATGCAATACTATTGGCTTCAGCTATGAATCATTCATACACGTTACACACATTTATGCATGCACACAGTATTGCAGATCATTTTTCCATGCACCTTTATTCTTACGCATGAATTCAAAAAATAAAAATTGCTGAGAGTTCATGGTCATATTTAGAGGTGAGCTCTGATGCTGTCGATTAAGAAACATGGACAGATTCAATGAAAGATGCTTCAGACATTAGCAAATTAAGGAAAATGTTTATCTTAACTGCCCATGTGATCTATCTGCCAATTAACATACCGAAGGCAACACTAACAACTCTGCCTGACGGATTCCACCGTGGATGGGGTTTCTAATCCTATTGTAAACCAGAGTCTCCCACTTGGGGATAGAGCAAGAATGGAGGAGAGAAAGAAAATGACAGAGAGAGAGCAAGCGAGAGTGATAGTAAGCAGTCTGCCAGCAGTTGAGGATTAGTAGTCTATCATAATGGGATTTTATCTGTGTAATATGTAGCAAATCAGCACAGCAGAGGAGAGTTACTCAAGACTAGGGGTGTAACGGTACATGTATTCGTATTGAACCATTTCGGTTCGAGGCTTCCGGTTCGGTACGCATACAAACCGAACGATTGCTTGGACCATTTTTCCTGCCGGCAAAATTCGTGCTGACGCGGCCAACACAACGTTGCGCAACATCAAATGGCAAGCGTAATGAAAGCAGAACGAAACTGTGCTACTCGTTATGTGCTTCATGGATCGTTTATCAGTTTGGACTAGCAAAATCTGTGCAGCGCGAGCCGATCTCGATCAAGCAACACTGTTACTACACAGCGCTAAGAGATCCGGTAAAGAAAATATTTGAATTCGCCACTGAGGTAATAACATCGCTGCGAGATCTAGTCAGTGCGAAGCATTCACATTTCTCCGTTATTAACCGTAGATCTCTATTAGATCAAACAGCGCTGTCATGGAAACCAGGAGAAACATTGTGCCGTGAATGAACTAGTAATACTTTCGTCCACAGACCAGCAACATTCACCATGGATTTAATATAGTAACACTAACTGGAACCAGTTTGGCTGGAATGGTGAAATGCTTTCAAGTACTTCACACATCTTTTTCCAGCACTTCAAAATTCAAATATTATATAAATAAATATATATTTAAATGTTATTTTTAATGTGATGACCAAAACATTATTTGTTCATTCTTCAAAGATGACCCCCATTTATAAACCTGAAAGTTTCAAGATCTAGGAAAACTCACACTTATTTAAACATATTTTTTCTTTAAACAAATAGGAAATTTCTCTGGCATTTCTTTCTTTTTGCTATATCGAAAACGTACCGAAGCGTGACTTTAAAACCGAGGTACGTACCGAACCGTGATTTTTGTGTACCGTTACACCCCTACTCAAGATGAGTCCAGCATTTCTACACTGACACTCCAGAGATTCTCTCTCACAGCTCCTTGCACCTGACCATGTTCAGGAGACATAAGCAAGACATATCTCTATTGTATAAAGCATGAAACATTATGAGGTGCACAGACAAAAAGCATCTCATTCTTGAATATCGAAAAGCATATTGCTGTCAAATTCAAAAATGCATTGCAAATTCAATCCTTAATATTTTTGACTAGGTGTGTAACAGTACACAAAACTGACAGTTCAGTACGTATCTCAGTCATGATCACGGTTCGGTTTTATACAGTGCAGCACAACAGGGGGGAGAAAACTAAACATAAAATTGCCATTTGCCATAAAAAGCCATTTGGATTTTCTGAGCAATACGACATCATATTGCTCATGCTCCGCCCGCGACCACTGACGGACTGTCCGGTATTAGCATACTTCCACCCTCAGCCAGTTGTATACTGTCCACCAAAGTGCCTTGTGTCGACACTCCTCATAGAAGAAAGGGGTGGGGTGAGCAGTTGCATATTATCATTTAAAGAGACATGCACCAAAATGGGTCGCTGTGAACAGAGCTGTTTTCTGAGGAGGTAAAAGGGGGTGTTTTACACAACCATTGAAGATTTTTAATCAAAGTATGTAACAAACTTTACATGAAGACCCTAAAGAATCATACCAACTTGTGGAAAATGGGCATCCGATGACCCCTCTAAGGCTCTAAGTGATTGAAAAATTGAAAGCACATTATTATTACAGAGTTATTTAAAAAGACAGACAGTTTTCCTCATACATTCAGTTTAATGTGCATCAACTGCAAGCTGAAAAGGAGAAGGTTTCATCTGAACTGTGCATGCATTTTAAACACTTTACATTATGTTCTTGCTCCGTCCAATCAATTTAATGCAAGTTGAGCAAGGCTCTCTAGCATAATTGCAAAACTGCTAAGGCAACTGCAAAGGTTTGAACAATTTTAGTAGCGGCCAAATACCACTTTATAATCAGTCAGAGCTATATAAATGTATATTTGTAAGTAAATATAAAAATACATATTCTCTAAGATGCATTAAACTCCCCATAATTTCTGCCTGTTTTCACTTGTGTGCTTTTCTCAGCCTCTGCTTTTCCGCTACATACTGAAGCCAACTCGTGAGTATATTTCACAATTACTTTCAGCTAATAGAAAATTACTGCAATTTCTGGTGTTGCTTTTTTGATTTGTTGGGGCATTCTATACCCCTTCATCAAACTTTCAACACACCCCGCCTCATATTGTTTTTAATCAATGCACGAATTGTGACAAACAGATTAACACTATCTGTTCCAAAATTCTGATTGGGTGGGAAAGATAGAGGTTTGGGTGGGCTCAGCACAACCCTGCTGATGCATTGAGATCAGCCCCCGGAGGGAAAACATTCCACAATGAAAAAACGAGAATCTCTTAAGAAAGTACATTCACTTCTAATCAGAGTGGCTGAAGTTCATGATGTGACATTTGCAAGCTGAAAAGCACATGGACCGTCATGCTAATGCTACAGAGTAATTAATCTGCCCCCGATGGAACCCAAACCACTAAAGGTCACTCATATACACTCTCTCTTTCACACACAAAACACAAGTATTCCCGATTGCACAGCCACGACCAAACGCAGAGAAGAGGAAGTGCATCAAAACAGCTAATTTATCTTCTGGTACAGAGCGTTCTGCATCTCTGCTTGTATCTGTATTTGTGTGTGCATTTTTCTATCACCAATGTTGTTGCC